TAATATTCATCTAATCTGTCTGTCTATCTATCTGTCTATCTGTCTATCTATCTATCTATCTATCTATCTATCTGTCTGTCTGTCTGTCTGTCTGTCTGTCTGTCTGTCTGTCTGTCTGTCTATCTCTCTATCTAGCTAGCAAGCTAGTTAGATAGCCAGCTAGCTAGCTAGCTAGCTAGCTAGCTAGCTAGCTAGCTAGCGATCTATCTATGTTTCTATCTGTCTCTTTATTTATCTATCTCTCTGTATCTATCTATCTATCGATCTACCTATCTACCTACCTACCTATTTATCTATCTATTTATCTATCTATCTATCTATTTATCTATCTATCTATCTATCTATCTATCTATCTATCTATTTATCTATCTATCTATCTAGTTGGTGCGGAGCGATTGTGTCGGACGCACGCCTCTCAAGAGAGAATTCAGGTGAAACGACCTTTTTTCCGGCGATGTAGGTGACCGCAAGACATCATGACGGTGTACAAACCTCCCCGTGCGAAGCCAGCTGTAGATAGGCTAGAGACATTCGTTAGCTGCCGGGCACGTCGCCAAGAGCCCCGGTGCTACTTGTGACATAAATATCTCTTTTTATACAATAGTGTACACACACGTGCACATATACATATATGTGTGGTAAGGTTGAGGGTTTCAGCGGCGGGCACATTGAGTTATTCGTGCCTCGAGGAAGTGACCTCGACGCAGAAGTTCACGCCGAGACGCGAGACGCCTCCCGATGCTCTCGCCTCCGTGAGGTGATACTGGCTCCCATAGGGCTCCCGATGGCTTAGAGTTCAGATTTAGGGTTGGGTTCATCAAGTTTAGGGGTTCTTCCACTTGCGGAATTTGGAGGCTTTTGGGTCTTTTATGTCCGGTGGGCGAGCAGCATGTGGCCACGGGAGGCCTTTCTCGGTGGGCCGCGCCAGGGCGCAGAGGCAGCTACAGACCGCTCTTGCAACGCAGGACAGCTTCCCCTGCAAGTGTGAAAAAGAACTCCTGACTTCTTTCATTCCGACGTGTCTTTACCAAGCGCTGCCGCTTGGGATCCGGTTGCAGGATGAGTGGGCAAAGGTTCGACGGCTCGAGCAGGTGCGGGAGGAGACTGTTCGCAGTTCTGCTACGATCACATCTGAAGACAGCATGCTCATGTCCGAGACTGAACCAAGCCTTCACCAGTACATCTAACAATCAACACGAATGGTCGCACAGCTACAGCGTGCATTCTGCCAGGCGCTGGAGAGCCCCTGCGTTCGCTACGAGAGGGCGACCACGCCGCGGCTCTCGCAGGCCAGGGTGGGGCAAGCCAAACCAAAGGTTTGCTTCGTCGAGAGCTAACAGGGGCTACAGCACGCTGCTCGTAGCCGTCGTCGCGATGCTGATCGTCCTTCTGCTTCAGCTATTTTGAATCCCCCCCATGTCTGGCACGGTCTGCTTGCAGTGATATTTCAGAGTTGTACGCCTTTGTAGTTTGCGGGTCCGCCGCCGTTGTCCCAGCATCAAGAACATCACAGTGCTGTTCGGTCTGCTGAACCATTTCTCTCGAGGTCACCCGGGAGGCCCAGTCAGCCAGGAGGGAGCTCTTCAAGAAGGACTGCGTCTGCAGGGCGGGGGGTTTGCGTTGAGTTCCATGCCCACCTGTTCAGGGCCTTCAGCCCAAACCTGCCGAGCCAATAAAGCCAACTGCGCCTCTTGTCTGCAGTGAATTTTTGCTTTCAGAGATACTACGAACGATTGCATCCCAAGGCCTGCGAAGCCAGAGCCAGAACCCGTGGCCGCGGCACCGCCCCTGAGCCCTGAGGATTCGGAGTGGAGTGGGGAGTGGGCCCTGGGCCGCGCACCCTAAGACCTAAACCCTGAACCCTTCAACCCACCACCGTATTTTGCTCACACACTTGGAGGAAGCGCAGCAGAAGGAGGAGGAAGCAGCGGCTCTTCGCATCCAGAGCCTTTACCGTGGAGGCAAAGAGCGCCAGGCCAGGACCAGGGCTTTCTGTTCTTTTGAATGAGTGCTAGGTGGAAAAGAAGCAGCTTCTGGAGATTCGATGTTGACATCCGAGACAGTGGCCAGGCGGTGAAGCAGATGGTGGATGAGGAAACCAAGGCAGCAAAATACTCAGCTGCCCACTCTTCCGGAATGGCAAGCATTAAGGATGCTCAAGCGATTTGGAAAGTGGGTCTTGTATGCCGAGGCAACCAAAATCCAGAGCGTATTTCGTGGACAGGCGCGCGTCCGTTTTTGTGCCAAAGTCACGTCAAAAGCCATGAGGTCACAGGGCCGATCCGCATTTGGCATTGAGCTTTGCTGTTGCAACTTCACTTCGATCCGATCAGCAGGCCGCTCGTAAAGAGAAGGAGTCATAGACTTCCTGCCCTTGTCAGCCGGCATCCCTGGCTGGCTTGGGGCTTGATGCTTGCCATATCTTCGTGGCATGCGCTGCCACGCCCATCTCATGGCAAGTATGGCAAGGCGAATCGCGGCAGCGCTTGCACAATGTTGTGGCGCCCAGAGCTTGGAACAATAACGCGGATGACTCTTGCTGAAGAGTGATGAAGGAAGCCAGGAAGTGTAAGAGCGGAGAGAAGCAACTGCCCGCCCGCCTCCCCGCCTCCCCGTCCCCAAGGCTCGTAGACGAAAGGAGCCCTCTGAGTCTCCTGGTTACTCAGAAACAGACAGTCAAAGATGGTCGGAATCGACACCCCTCGCATGACTAGAAGCATCCGGACAGCAGAAGTCCAAGTCCTACACCCTGTGTCATCCGCAAAGCCTAGATAAACGCCACAAGGAGTGGCCGCCTTAAGCTGATTCAAGCGTGATCCGAAAGGGGAAGCTGTTCGCACAGGCAGGTGGATGATAACTGGGAGATGCGGAATGACAGCAGCAATCGTGCCGAACTAAAATTTGGATTAAGTCAAAGCTGGAAACTCGGACCGTCCGCACTGTGTAGCCTTGGGTCTGTTGGCATTTTGGTTTCGGTGTGGCATCGGAAGGAATCAGCGTCGAAAACCACGGCAGGACGATGAAACATCACGAGACTAGGCTTTCACGGGAGACGCCTACGCCTTTGGCACACGACATGGGATCATGGCATCGATCAAGGGACTCTTCACCGGCCCAAACGAGAAAGAGCACGAGGCAGTCCTTACTCTGAGGCCGATGCCTCTCAGCCAATCGGAGAGCGGGGCCCTTTCCGTGCTGGGCGAAGGTGAAGTTTGTCTCGATGTGCGTGCAGCGCCCTTGCTGAGAGGTTTGCACCTGTTTGTGCGCACCATAGCACCATGGGCGCAGGCAGGGGTCCTTGAAGCAACGTTCGTGGACCAAAGTGGGACCTGACTGCCAGGCCATAGACCTCGACTTGTCGCGGCAGATCGGACCTTCAGAGTGTTTTATTCTCAGGGATAGCGGACTCTTTATCTCTACGCTACATGTTGTTTGACTGGTGCTAGATGCAGGCACTTTCCGGGTGGGAAGCTTCCGCAGAATCCAACTCAACCCTACTCTGCCGGTACTCTATTCGTGGCGGGCTTCCCCTTGCAGAGCCCGGCAGGATGCTATTTCTGCTGTGTGTACAGGGCTTGGCTAATATCCGGCCGCGTGTCCCAGCGTATGCCGGGGCCAGAGCATTTTTCGTGGCACGCTGGAAACATCAGCTTGTGCTTGGCATGGCCTGGGCCCTCTTGATGCGGAGTGGGGCTCTAGAGTACAATAAATGTGATATTCCGACTCGAGTCTTCAAAGGCTCCAGGCGCCAGGACAACAGTCTGCCTTAACACGAACCATGAGTCAGCTCAACGGTAACGAGGATGCTTGAGGGGCTTGACCCGAAACTAGCCGAAAGTGCGGGTGACGTAGTTACTTCCTCCTTGTTCAACACGGCAGATGCATCATCAAATCCGCAAACACATGCTTGACAAGTGGGCAGATCATCTCAACTCGTGCAAAGCACGAGTTCCTGGTAGTACAAGGTTCCTTACGGCGGTGGCCAAACGGTCACTCGACTATTCGGCGAGCGAAGCTCGTCCACCAAAAGGGAAAAGCCCTGCAGCCAAGCGTTTTGATGAGAAAAACTGGAAGCAACTGAGAGTGCAGTGTAGAAGCCAACTTCCTTTCAATGCTGTCTCTGCCACGGCCATGGCAGCATGCAGGATCTGCTTTATCGACGCCTGGGAGCTGAGAAGTTCTCGAAGCTCTTGGATGAAGCAGACGCCTGGGCCCGGGGCCCCCCTGTGACAAGTCCTGCCAGTTTCTTCTTTCGGGTCTTGGCATGGTGAGTGCAGGGCATCCCTCAGCGCAAAGGTGCTGACCAAGAAGTTCCAGACTCGCATTCAGAAAGCTCGGCAGCCAAGCCACCTTTGAGAATCTTTGAGAACTTGATGCTGATTCGTGTGGCCAATGGAAACCCGTAGTCAACTTGCCCAGATGCAGCCAACGTAAACCACCCACTCTTCTGAGGCCCGAGGCTTTTTTCAAACAGCCAATGGCATCATCTGGCCCGGAGCCAAGCCAAGACGGACGCAGAGCGGATAGTGTAGGTTGTGGCATTTTCAAGCATCTTTAGACTCTATAGAGGCCCGAAGGCTTCAGGCGCACAGAGCCCTGCGTCTCTCGAGGCACGTCACCCCAGATGGGGAAGTCAAGGGACTACACGCAGATGGTTCCCGAATCCGAGACCGAGTGCGGGTGCGCCGATGTCACACTCACTGGGAGGGGCGAGGGAGGATCCTGCAAGAATCGAAAGTTTTCAGGCGGTGCGTTTTGCACAGCTTGTATTCAACCATACCAACCGTGCTGCGAGGTTGCTCCCGACGATACGCTGCAGATTGGGTGGGGCACCGATGCAAAGCATGGCAGATTCCAGAGAGGTCAGCTTGTGAAACTTTCTGAATGGAGGCCTTTCCGGCTGGATGAAACGCGCGGATGTCACTGCATCCATTGGTTGCGGAAGGACAGCTTTGTTATTACTCGCCTCGGATTCTTTCCCATGGTTGTACAAGAAAAGCTTTGCAGATGCATGTGAAACTCTGGAAGGATGACCCTGACAAGTCTTGGAACTGGTCAAGGTGCCTTGCTTGCATCATGAAACTGGAGCTGGCATCAGGCATGCTGTTTCAGCAGATCATTTGCTTGGTAACATTCGGGCAGTGTGAAAGCCCGCAGTGACGTCGCACCGCCTAGGGACAACACCCTACGCACGCGAGTGCGGCTGGCCACCGGTGAGAGGGCGTAGGCTTGGGTGAATGGTAAATCCTGGTGCCCTGGGCCCCCTGCAGCATGATGCATGTTACCAATTTGGGCACGCGTGCACTGTGTTCCTCATAGGCATAGCTCGCTTTGCTTTGTCCTGCCAGGCGAGGGCTGCATGTTAACGACTGTGCAGCCATGCGTCACTTGGAAGGGTCGTTCAAGAACAGAAGACGGGGCGCTACTTTGTGCTAGGTAGATGCGAACACGTACGATCACACAGGGAGACAATCTTTCATGGTGTCACGGCTTGTAAGTGCGCTGAGGGCTGCTGACTGCCTGTAAACGACAAATCGACGGCGGTTTTCCTCAGCTCGGGCATCCAAGAAAGGATCCCAAGCCAGAGTGTTCCGACTTGCTCCGGCCACTCGCGGAAAAGTGCATCGCATGGAGCTGTACCGTGCAGTCGCTAAGTTCATGTGTGTGCAGGTGTGTGTGTGTGTGTGTGTGTGTTTTGTCAAGCCCTGCTTGCCAAGAGATCGGATAGGTTGTGCAGTCCAGTTGCGTGCGGATGCCCCGCACCTGAAGGGTGGGCATGTCACAAACAGGCTTTGCAGAGTGTGCTCATATGGTTCTGGGACGCCGGAACCACGTACCTACATCGTACGGCGAGCGGCATAGCCAAGAACCCAAAAGATCTCGTGTAGATGGGAATTGAATGTACAGGTTGACGTAGCAGACTCTAGCTGCTCTTTTCGGGGCATTTACCCATGTGCGTGTGCATGCGTGCATGCGTGTGTGTGTGTGTGTGTTTGTGTGTGTGTGTGTGTGTGAAATCAAGCTGTTGGCATCGCACAGCACCGCCATACTGCGCCGTAAAGCTTCGACTGAGTCCACAAGATGTCCGTTGACGTGCATTCCAGGCTCCAAACACCCTGGCGCGCATCCGTTTATGCTGGTTTTGCTGCCTGCCTGTCACTGCGGGCAATCAGAGCCGGGCCTTTCGTGTCGTCGTACCCCGCCTCAGTCTGCGGCCTAGCCTGGTTCCCACGAGCGGGGCTTCTCCGCGCATCATTACAAACAGGATGTTGAGCACAGGATTGAAGACATCTGCAGAGGCTACATCAGCCCAAAGGGCGCGATCTTCGAACGAGAACCCTTCATTTTGCCTTCGGCAGGAAGGATTCCACCAACTCGATTCTATATCTTTCAAGTTGCCAAGCGGCGGGGAAATGTCAGCCTTGCAGGCGTACATGCCTGCATCAGTTCAGATGACTCCAAAACATGAATCCGTGGCAATTGTCGGTTTGCTGACGGGCTTAGTGGGATCGCATGATATATGCTGGGTTGCGCAAGAGAAGTGACTCCGAGTGATCCTTTTGTGTAACAGACTTCAAGTCTCACGACGCTGACATAGATGCGGCGATGCAGGTCGGGGTCCGTCCTTGTTGAGCCAAGTGTGCACGAGAGTTTAGTCGGTGCAGCACAAAGTCGGCCTGAAACTTTGGGCTCGAGTTGGGCACTGAAACGCCCACCATGAAAGACTCATTCGCTGCATGAGCACGCGTCTCGGAGTGTGGTGCGCGCCAGTCGAGAAAGGTTGAGTTTGGCCACTTCATTGTGTTCGAGTTCTGAGGTCCTGCACCAAATCAGGCAGCAGACTTTGGACGCCGCGGGCGCAGGCTGCCGGAGCATTCTCGCAGTGATCTTTCACAGTCTTCGGCTCTAGCTCGTTCTTGAAGGCGGCCGATGGTTGCTTGTGTCAGCAAGTTATTTCAGTTGCGATCTTGATAGATTCCCCTTCCTTCTCCCTTTCTCAAGGCACAAAGTGATCAGTGAATCCATCGTCAGCTCTTGAGTTCCGATCTCCATATTCGTGAGTCACCTTGGAAGGCCGCACTGTAGGTCGAAGACATCTTTTGCTTTCAACTTCTGAGAGCCCGTTTCACCTCAGGTGCCGCAGATGTGGGCATGGGCCGCTGATGTGTGCCCATCCCAATGGTGCAGGCCACGACTCCCAAAGAAGCAAGCACGGGATTCAAGATAGACCGTTTCAATGACGTGCAGGGCATCCGCTGTGTCTCAAGGGAAGCCCCACCCAAAAGCTCCGTGTACGATGCATGCTCGTGCTTGGGAGGAAATTGCCAACACTGTTTTTTCTGGTCTTCTGCTTCATTCAGAACGTCCATGCGTGGTGCGCCCTCTCGGGGTGGGAGGACCTTTAAGGTTTTTCAGCAAGAGGCACACAACATGCATATGATGTTGGCGCATGATGGGAGTGTTCGAGTTTAGGCAGGGTTGCTATCCACATTGTGGGTTCGCTCGAAACCCCGTTCCGTCAAGCGACATCGGCACATCGTGTTGGCACCATAGTGCAACTCTTGATGTACACCCTGAAACAGCAGCAGTCGACGACTTTGGTTCTCATTTTGAGCAGTATTCAAAGGTGGCTGTCTGATTCACCTCGGCCACTGTTGATGCTTGAGGGAAGGTCCGGGTTCCGCAATCAATGAACTAAGTGCAGTACTCTTCATGATGAAGCATGATGAATAGCAGCCTTCGATCTGGTCATCACAATGCTTCTACATGGACCTGCAATGAGAGCAGCAACGACACCATGACTCACTATCTTGCCTTCTGCATTCTCCTTACCTTCAAGACTCTTGTGAAACTTTCTGGTTCTTGCCATGATAATCTTGAAATACATCGAGTTTCGCAGACATTGAGCTGGCCGCTCTCCTTCCATCTCTGTCTCTCTGTCTCTTTGCGTGTGTCTCTCTCTCTCTCTCTCTTTCTCTGGCTCCCCCGGCGTTTGTATCTACGAACTTTTCAACCCTATAGTTTCACAGCTCCCATGCAAGGGAAAGTGTTAAGCCACCGATTCACTAATGATCCATTCGCGATGATTCGCGATGGCATTGACAACGACATTTTCGGGCTTCTGGGTCTGATAAATCAGCAGTCAACGGCGCCTCGCGGGTTGATTTTCAACCGGAAGCTCCGAGCTTTTTAGGCACCTCTCAAGTTGTTTCTTCATGCATACTGAGTGCTTAAAAGCAACTAGGGCTCCAAACTAGGAACTGCCATCACATGAAGGTTCGGATCAATGCTAAGCTTGTGAGGGCCTTCGCTGCTTCAAGCACAGGCAGCAAGCCTCCCCGCATTCCCAGGGTGCTGGTGTCTCGGGAGGGCGAGGTTACACTCCTCGGTCCTGTTGACATCGGTGTAGCTGGCAAGTTTATGGCCATCATTGGCCGTCATTAAGGCCATGCGGCCTACTTTGCCGGCTCGGACTTGCGTAGCTCGCCACCCTTTTGACAGATCCCTCCTTCAACCAAGACGCGAAGCTCACATTCAGATCAAAGGGGGCGAGGCAATGGGCTTGTTGCTGTCACTCCTGCCATCTTGCCAAGCATAGGGTGTGCTACGTAGCTCACTGTGGTTGGGGAAGGCAATGGAGCATCGGGGTGGAGACCGTTCAGAGGCCCATGGACATAGTACTGCCCTCAGGCTGACCCACCGTTGAGGCTTGCCCTCGCATCCTGTTCCAAGCTACATTTTTGGTGCCATGAAGATGCTCCGTACCGGGTATTCACAACAGGTCAACCATGTGCCCAGGTGATCTTCTCTGAAAGGTTTGGTGGGCAGACGCCATACATGGTCATCACCCAGGCAGGTCACTCTCGGCTTCATGCCACTTCCTTGACTCTGGCCACGTACATAAACTTACAGGTCTTACACAGTTGTGAGAGCGTGGGTGGAAGCCACTGAGCTGCGAGGAGCAGGAGGCCTTCTTCAACATGTCCCTTAGCGTCATTGACCAGGTGCAAATCGGGTCAACCCTGTCGGTCTTCGACACAGCAGTGCTTGGCAGCACGCT